CACTCTGTTTGTATTCCTCTCCTTCATCTCCTTCCGATGCACCGTTTTTCTTTTTTCATTCTTCCTCTTTTTCTTCTGTTTGCTTTTGATTCAATCGGGTCAGTTTTGCCACTTGCACTGAAGTGTACACAATGGGGGCAGAGCAAACTGCCGACAATTTCCAGCAAACCATTTTGAGCTTGCCTGGCTTGGCAGTCTATCGTGATCACAGCTCAATTTAATTTGTTTGAGATTTACTTGAGCACAAACGAACACACACATACAATAAACGAAGCTTTTTGCTGAGCATTTCATCACAAATGGAAACATTTTTAAGTTGTTTATTANGTACACAATGGGGGCAGAGCAAACTGCCGACAATTTCTAGCAAACCATTTCGAGCTTGCCTGGCTTGGCAGTCTATCGTGATCACAGCTCAATTTAATTTGTTTGAGATTTACTTGAGCACACACAAGCACACACATCCGATAAACGAAGTNTCACAGCTCAATTTAATTTGTTTGAGATTTACTTGAGCACAAACGAACACACACATACAATAAACGAAGCTTTTTGCTGAGCATTTCATCACAAATGGAAACATTTTTAAGTTGTTTATTAATTATTGAGCAGATGAGGCAGTTTGTACAGTGATTAGCGCACTGTAAAGGAAAACTGCCTGCTGATCAAATGGCTGCCGTATCAGGCTACTGAGGCTGCTTCTGTGTTTAATCCATTAGTGTAATGCACATTGCCAGCCTGCCTTCAGTGAACATCACTTTGATTGGCTTCCAATTGCTTCATCGTGTTTCGGTTCACATCGATGTGCTCGTGTTACGACGACTACAGCTACCATTAAGGCTGCTGTCTCGAATGAGATTGTGAGCACACAACGGACACACAACCACTTTCTCAATAAGTAGAATGCTCATTGGAGAAAAAAGCGAATGAGCAAACGAACGGAAAACCTAAAGAAAAAGAAAAAAAACATCAAAGTAAAGTGGCTTCGATCGATGCATTTAATGTGCTCACCAAAACGGCAGCTGCTGTGTTGTGGTGGTGGTGGTGGTAGTGGCCAACTGCTTCACCAGCACCACCAAAACCAAAAACCTTCTTTTACCGAATCACATTCACAGCACTTTCCAATTTAATTTCATTTTGTTTTTTACTTCTTTCTCTAATTCATTATGTCAGTTCGGCTGTTGCTGATGCCTCCTTCTCTTCACAACCCTTTTTTACTGCTAACCGTCTCGACGTGTTCCAATTTAGCATTGGTAATAGGAGGGTGCACTGCCAGCTCCTGAAGTGCACACTCAGCCACCAACAGTGGCAGGCAGCATAACGACGTGAAATAGCTTTCAAAGGAAATTCTTTAAATTAAACGTTTAATTTTACTTCAGAGTCTAGAGAAAAGGCGTCTGAGAATGCTTTCGTTTGCGCAACGATTAATTTGCCGAGCTATTAAGGGTAACGCTGGCAGTTTTTCAAAATCAGGTTTGCGATTTTAAAATTTTGCATTCTGCAAATGCATCAGAAATGCATGTTTTGATCAAGAATCGATTAAGCAAAATATCAACAAACAGTAACCAAAACAAGCTGATACACTCGGCAAATTTTGACCTGCAACCACTAAAAACAGTGCAGTAGCACTTTTTCAAGTGCCTTCAAATGGCCACTCGAAATTATCAAATTGCCCAACTGCCTTGTTGCCCCTTTTGCTCATTTGTCCTCAGTGTCTCGCTCTGAGTGCGCCACTTCAAAATTTAATTTGCCACTCATTTCGGCAGAAATATCGACCTCTCTTTCTTTCTCAGACTGTAGCAAACAAACAGAAAGGGAAAAAGTCAGTCTACAGCTGATAATCTGCCGAGCACTGCAAATCTTGACAAGTTTTTTTAATTTACCAGCCGAAGATGAAGCACCCAGGCCGGCCAGGTTAAGTCAACAGAGAGAAGAGAAGAGTGAGTGCAAGTGCCAGTCGCTCTTCAACTCTTCAACTCTTCAACTTGGTCTCTGGTCTTGCCACTTTTATTCGCCCCTATCACCGCTATCAATCTATCTCTTTTCACTGTGCTCACTGTACGATAGCTATCGTCTGCAAATAGAAACGATAGTACTACGCTAGTAACCCATTACTGTCTAAAACCTAGCACCGCTAATTAATTAGTTCTCATAATAAAGTAGCGCAAAGTTCTCACTCACTTGCTAACTGCAGTCACCGGTGCGGCATGCCACGGACCACAGGTCAACACTGACTAACTGAGTATGTGTGTTCACCAGCTGCACAGACACAATGCATATGCAAATGCTTTACATAATAATGGAGCAACTTCCCACGATCTTCTTCTTCTTCTAATCATTCATTTGCGATAACGTACTGTTTAAGCTGTTTCGCATGCAGGCACCAGCAGCCCTGTGCTGATTATTTGGTTGGCGCCCTTTTTAAAAAGAAAAATCTTCTATTTGCTTTTTGTATTACAGTAATTTGTGGCTGTCCAACTTTGACCAATGTCTTAGCTTCTCCTCCTCCTCTCTCACGCAAAGAGAGTGACCAAGTAGTGACTGGCCAATCGGCAGATGGCGTCGGCCGAGGGAACAGTCGACGCCAGTTGTTTACACTTTCAGTGTTCATGAGATGCTGTCATCTGTCACTTCGGCGGCAGCTTCTCTCTCGGCAGTTCACACAACTCCTACTCCACTTCTCAACTGTTGCTTCCTTGCCCATCGGTCGCCTACTGTACGGCCGATTATTATTAACTTGCCAGTCTGATCAACCACCGGTGATCTTCGACGATGTAGAACTGCAACAGCAGAAGCAACTGCAGCAGTACTGCTGACTGTAGCACTGCTGATGTTCACTGTTGTTCACCGGGCAGCTATTGTTGGCACCGATGTTGTTGGCTGCTGTTGCTGCTGCTCTGTCCACTGCTGATGCAGCTGATGCCAGGCTGGTGAGCACCTTGGCAACGTGACGTGGTCTCTGGTGACGAGTCGCGTCACCTGAAGCGTCGCCCGCATCGAATTCAATTCGCGGAAAAATGTTTTGATGACGGGCAGAACTTCACCACCACCAGCTCTGGCCGCCGCTACTGCTCTTCTCGTGATTCACGATCTCATTCAAACAGTTTTGAGCAGTGCTCATCAAGCATGCCACTTTGAAGCAGCAGCATCATCATCACCGTTGACACCCCTGCCATTTGGATGTGTTTTGATTTGTGAGTTTGATGTTCGACTTCTGTCTTCTCACCCACTTCAACTCTTGCGCTGTCGATAATGTGCAAAAGCGGAGATTTATCGTAGCCGGCACTGGAAGCCTCTTTCCTTTTCTCTCCTACAACAGTAGTAAGTGCACCACCACCAATATGATCGCCACACTTCTCTGAGCTGCAAGCCCGCCAACACTCTAAATATTATTCTAAGAAAAATATATTGTTTGAGTTAATTGATTTATTGCCGGCAAACTGGAACAGTAGTTTTGCATCTTAGTTCAAGCACATCTAACGCACAAACATTGGTTTTTGATTTATTAACTTTAGCATTTCCCTCTGAGCAGGCCAATTTGTGGCTGCACATATTTGCTCATTAATCTTGCACATCTGTAATAAGAGGAATTATTTTTCAATTAATAGCGAGATTCACCTGATTCCCATCTACTCAGCAGCAGTTTAATTTCAACAGGGTACCTTGCACATTCTCTTTCAAAGCATTTGTTTTTATTCAGCTATCTTGTCACGTCAAATCAGCATTGTCGTGGCGGTTTAGTTTGGATTGATGATCTCCACTGGTGCAGCTTTCATTGTCTTCTTGATAACTGCAACTGGCGCCTCAGCCATCCTTCCACCTCCTCTGGTGCAGCTTTCCAATCTTGAGCCCTCTTGAAGAGTGCCGTCCCCCATGAACTGTCACTCTTCGCTGGACTGGTGCTGTGCCTAATTTGCAATGCACAGCCATTTGCAATGGCAGCAGCTGCAGCACACACACACACACACACACCACCACCATGTGTGCCCCTCAACCAGCACCTCGTCGATAGTGCACCGTTATTGCCTGTCAGCCGGTGTTGCAAGGCTGCTGCTGCTAAGCTAAGCCAACTAACCCACTGCCCGCAGCCATCGCCTAGTTGCCCGGTGTATGTCTGTCTGTCGCTTATCTACCTCAACCATTGCGTCTCTGGAGCCAGCACCAGCAGCCACCTTTTGTGCCAGCAGCAGCAGCAGTCGTCTGGCTGGCTGGCTCTCTCTTTCTCTTTTTGGTGTGTTTGCGTGTCTGTTTGGCACTGGTTGTTGAATCTCTCCTCTTTCACTGCACCTGATACTGCCGCTGATGCTACCGGTCGATTAGTCGTGTCGATGATGATGATGCTGGAGCTGGTGTTGGTAGAGCTGGTGCTGGTTGTAGTGGTGGTGGTGTGCGCTCTAACTTCAGCTCACCCATTTGCAGCAGCCACCAGAACTAATTGAGCAATTTATTGCTCCGGTCTCTTTGTACAGACTCTGTACACGTGTATTTGCATTGCCTTCCCTCCAATTGATTTGCTGTTCTCTTCTCAGCGACTGCTATTTTAGTTTTCTGGCCTGTTGACAATTTTCTCCCTCTTTTTCTCTTTCTCACCTCTTTGACTCTGTGTACTTTGGCGGAACCGTTTACCGCTTGACTGCTACCTGAATATTCACACAATATGATGCATTAGTGTAATTAGTGTGATGACACTTTATAATTATCATTGTTTTGCTTTTTCTAATGTTTTGCTCTCATTTTTGTTCTCTTTGTAGTTGATTACACGTCATATCACTTTATCCCACATCTCATCACCCGCCTCTCTTCTCATCTTTCTCTCGCTCTCTTTTCTTGTGACATCGCTCACATCCAACACAACAGTCTGACAAAATGACATCCTTTCGACGGCTGATCGCGCGCCGAAGCTTACTCCGCCTTCTCATTTTTATTCCAATCACATGGATTCTGTTTTCGCTTATGTACTCATTCAACGGCCGAAGTGCCATTCCATACTCCTTCCAAAGAAATTCCGCACCTGATGATGCAGCAGCAGCTGCAGCAGCGGCGGCACAAGCTTTAGCTGATGGCAAAAGTGCGGAGAAGCAGGTGGACAGTGCCAAGTCGAATGGGCAGGAGAATGAGGTGGACGACAGGCCGATTCGCCTGCCCGATGGCGGCAAGCACAAGAAACACAAAGTCCCGCATGAGGTACGTCGGAATGTGCAACGTTGGCCAGCATCGGGTTTTTACTCAAAGGTTCAACTTCCTTTTTTTTATGCCAGGTGCCAAATGATCAAGACGCTGTGATACCAATGCCTTACGACGGGGCCAAGGGCGGATTTGGTGAAAACGGTCGACCAGTTGTTATTCCGGTGAGTGTTGTACGACCGCTTAGTCACCAGGGACTCACCACCCTTAGTCACAAGTATGAACTCGTACAACGTCGTTTTATTATTTCTTTTGTGTTCAATAGAAAAACGTCAGTAGTGCCATTCAGAAATTAATCGACAACGGTTGGAGCGACAATGCCTTCAACCAGTACGCAAGTGATCTCATGTCGCTGCATCGCTCACTGCCAGATGTCCGTGATCCAAGGTGGGTTTTCTTTTTTGAACGTTTTCTGTTCCTTTATATTGCTAACAATACAATGTGCTTTTCTGCAATAAAAGGTGCAAAGATACCCCTTACCCACCACCCTCCAAGTTACCTGCCACTAGCGTCATCATCTGCTTTCATAATGAAGCCTGGTCAGTGCTGCTTCGAACGGTGCACTCCGNGTGATACCAATGCCTTACGACGGGGCCAAGGGCGGATTTGGTGAAAACGGCAGACCAGTTGTTATTCCGGTGAGTGTCGTACGACTGAGTTTTAGTCACCCTTCACAAGTATGCGAACTCGTACAACGTCGTCTTATTATTTCTTTTGTGTTCAATAGAAAAACGTCAGTAGTGCCATTCAGAAGTTAATCGACAACGGTTGGAGCGACAATGCCTTCAACCAGTACGCAAGTGATCTCATGTCGCTGCATCGCTCACTGCCAGATGTTCGTGATCCAAGGTGGGTTTCTTTGAACTTCTGCTCCTTTATATCGCTAACAATACAATGTGCTTTTCCCGTAAAGGTGCAAAGATACCCCTTACCCACCACCCTACAAGTTACCTGCCACTAGCGTCATCATCTGCTTTCACAATGAAGCCTGGTCGGTGCTGCTCCGAACGGTGCACTCCGTCCTTGACCGCTCGCCACCAGGGCTAGTCAAGGAGATCATTCTCGTCGACGATTTCTCTAACAAAGGCAAGTCGTTTTCTCCTCTTTTTGAAAAATGTGTATTTACTCACTTGCCAATTTGTGCTTTGTCTTTGTCTCTTGCAGACTACCTTGGGAAGAAGCTGGACAACTATGCAAAGAAGCTCGGAAACGTGAAGGTGGTTCGCGCGAAGAAACGTGAGGGGCTCATTCGCGCTCGCCTACTGGGCGCCTCGGTGGCGACGGCGCCCGTCCTGACGTACCTCGACTCTCACTGCGAGTGCACTGAAGGCTGGCTGGAGCCGTTGTTGGCGCGCATCGCCAAGGACCCCACCACGGTCGTCTGTCCGGTGATTGACGTCATCAACGACGGCACCTTTGAGTATCACTACAATCGAGACGCGGGCTCGCTGAACGTGGGCGGCTTTGATTGGAACCTCCAGTTCAACTGGCACTCGGTGCCGGAGCGTGAGCGAAAGCGCCACAAGTCGGCCGTCGAGCCTGTTTGGTGAGTGACTGATGCGAGGATGCGAGCGAGCATGTTTGCATCTTTTTGCATAATTTTTCTGTGTCTTACGAATCGATTTTCTGCTCTCCATTACCACCACCACCAACAGGTCACCCACTATGGCAGGTGGTCTCTTCTCCATTGATCGAGCGTTCTTCGAGAAGATTGGCACCTACGACAATGGCTTTGATATTTGGGGCGGCGAAAATTTAGAGCTATCTTTTAAGGTGAAGCTTTTGGACAAGTGCCTGTTGAGCACAGCTTTTTTCCTCCTTTGCTGACTATTTACCTTACTGTTTTGTATATTTACAGACCTGGATGTGCGGCGGTACGCTGGAAATCGTGCCTTGCTCCCATGTGGGCCACGTATTTCGATCGCGATCACCATATAAGGTTTGTGGTAGTGGAAGTAGTTGTGGGAAGCCATTTTGTATGACTGATGTGCTTCATTTTCTGCTCTTTTTGCCGCTTTCATTGTTTTCCATCACACAGTGGCGTACCGGCGTCAATGTGCTAAAGCGCAACTCAATCCGTCTGGCGGAAGTGTGGATGGACGAATACAAGAAGTATTATTACGAACGCATTGGCGGTGATCTGGTAGGCACTGATAATGATGATGATGATGACGATAGACTAATGGCTGACTAATTCTCTTTAGGGTGATTTCGGAGACGTCTCCTCGCGCAAAACACTGCGCGAGAAGATTGGCTGCAAGAACTTTGACTGGTACATCAAGAACATTTACCCGGAGTTGTTCGTGCCCGGCGAGGCAGTTGCTTCCGGAGAGGTATGTGCCCAGATTGTAGTGTGCACTGCAGATTTGTCGTCACCTGGCAACTCATTCATTTTTTCCGTGTTACCTACTCACCCTTTGCAGATTCGTAATTTCGGCGGTTCCGGCTACAAAATGTGCATTGACAGTGCTGCGAAACGTGGTGATATGCACAAGCCGGTGGGTCTGTACCCCTGCCACAACCAAGGTGGCAATCAGGTAATTGTTATGCGGTTTCTCTCTCTCCTAATGCCTGAACGTGACCACTAATATTTTGCCCCGGATTTCTTGTACAGTTTTGGCTATTTAGCAAAAATGGCGAAATTCGCCGCGACGAAGCTTGCATGGATTATGCCGGCCATGATGTTATTCTGTACCCTTGTCATGGCTCCAAAGGAAACCAACTGTGGTCTTATGATGATGATGTCAGTATTTACCTTCTTTATTGCTCTCCTTATCACCTGATCTTGCTAACAACCTTTATGTTTTTCTCGTACAGTTGAAGCAAATTCGACACGTGATTACCGGCCGCTGTTTGGAGATGTCATCACTGAAGGACAAACTGCTCGTTCAGGAGTGCCGTCCTTCAAATGCCTTCCAACAGTGGAAGTTCTCCAAATTTGACTCATCTAAAATGCCAGAAGAGGGCTTTGTTGATGAAGACGCCAACTAAATCGCAGCAATCACATTGCCATCAGCAGCAGCTTCCTCTGACCAGCTTCCTCCCTCTCTCTCCCCTCGTTCACCGTTTATTGTGATGGATTTGTCTTTTGTTAGGAGTACGCGTTTTTAAATACTTTGTGGTTTATGTTCCCCTTCGTTTGTTCTTCTACTTCTTCTGTTCCACCATTAACATATACCTTGTGATCACTATCTATAATTCCAAAAATGTCACTACCGCAGACGCTTCCTACCCCTTTTTTCTCGCTCTTTTCGACGGCTGGTGCAATAGAACTTCTACACCCTCAAAGGCAATCCCCAACCCCTTCAAGGCAGGCGCATCAGCTTCAACACCCACTGAGCAACGACATGTACATATGCCTCTTTCTGTTCTTTCATTCTTTGTTTTCAAACAAACGGTTGGGCTCTGCGAATCGGTCATTTGACCCAACATTCCCCAGCACACACCCTCCCACCCTCGACTGTCTCACCCTCAATTCATTGGCTATTTATTTATACACTATTTTTTCGTACTTCTCCCACATTCTCTTCTCTGCCATCAGCACTGTGTTGTCTATCTGTTGACACCAGTCCTTTTAATTGACCACTCATTCCTTCCTTCATACATTCCCTCATCATTGTACTCCCATCATCATCATCATCGTCTGTTCAGCCCAAGTTGTACTCATCACCTGCTGCACAGCATACTGACCGCATGTTTTTTTTGCTGTAAAATATACTCCTCTCTATCACTTTGCGGCTGCACATTCTGACGCATTCCATTTATTACCCCCTTTCATTTCACCTACCTTCTTCACATTGTACTGTACGCAATATCGGGATTCGATGGCAATTTTTTGGATGACACACACATTATTTACACATGTAATTCAACTGATGAAAACTAATGATGACCGACTGCAGCACAAAAAATGACACACACAAACAAACTCTCCCGCTGACCCGAAGTTGCATAAAAAGAAGAGTCGCGTCGAGTGTCAAATTTTGCAAACGGTGATGCTCAACCGATGCACCGGTGTAGACCAATTGAGGACTGTGCTGCAATTGCAAATTGAACGCTTTTCTTCTCATTCAACTGTGCCTTAAGTCAATCGAAATAAATGTGATGCTTTCTCAAATTGGCTGGTAGCTTTTTTCATTAGTTGATGTCACTTTCACCACAATTTACGTTTCATGTGTGTGACGCATGTTTAAAAAAATGCAATGCAATACGTTTTTAGTGTGCTGAAGTACCAAATGACCATGATTCTCCTTCTCAAGGACGACTACGCCTCAGTGCTCTACTCTCTGCCCCATTTGCGTTTTAGAGTTTTCATAAATTCGCACTTACACTGACGTCACCGGCTGTAGTGGACGCCATCTACAGGACGTCATCTGGTTGGCGCCAGTAAGGTTCACACTTAGGTGATGCACTGAACTGATGAACTGGAAAACTTTATCCTCCTTTAAAAGATGTTATCTTCGGTCATGTTTACTCACAATGCTCTCAGCATTCAGGAGAGGATTTTATACCAGAAAACTCAAATTTCATTCAGCTGTTCATTGCACTTTTATTTCACTTGCAATTCATTGAAACGGATCACCTTTAATCATTTTATAATTCTTTTTACTCATCATTCATATACGAAAAATGGCAAGTGATAACAAAGGAGTCCGGTCCAAAAGAATGTACGCTCTTCGAGATATTGCCAAAATCAAAGTGGACAAAAGGTCTCCTCTCGCCACAACAAGTCCGTTTAAAAATTCTACCACAAGTCCTGCCACAAGTCCTGCCACAAATTCTGGCACAAATCCTGCCAAAAGTCCAGCCAAAGTATTCCACCAAAGCATTCCCCTCATACGGCTAAACGGCCAGCCAATCGATGATCCCGAAACGTCTCACCTGACTAGTATGCTACCACCTGCATATGTACACCCCAATGAGCTGATGTTGATGACTGTCGAAGAACGTGAGCGACGCATCGACGACATCATCAGTCGGGTGATGGCCAGTGAGGAGAAGGAGATGCTACAGCAGTCAAACTGGGCACCACCGTTGAATGCCAACGAGGACCGAAGTGCGAGGATTCCCATTGGACAGCCAAGTCTCTTTATGAAAGACTTGACAGTGATCATGAACTGTCAGAAGATGCAGAAGCTAATCGACGAGCAGGAGAAGCAGTGCTTTCAGATGATCAACAGCAAGAAGATCGTTCCCTCTTTGGGCGAGTACAGGCTGAACTTCAGCAACCAGTATCGAGAGCAAACAGGAAGTGAAAACCGGTTTCCCTTTAACATTCAACTGGACAGTATCGTCACTTCATATCTGCAGTCACATACTTTCCCCAATCGCAAACTCTCTCCTCCTAAAGGAAGACAATGACAGCAACTCATTCTTCTTCAAGCAAAACCCCCTTTTATTCTGCCTTCATTTTGGATGAAGTACTATCATATGCATTCGGCTAACTTGCTAGCTTTTACACCTTTTTCTTCTATAGCATTTTAGCAATAAATAATTAATTGCAATGCAACTTGTTGTGTACGATGTAACTCTACTGTTTCAAACAGGGCTCAAGATTCGTTTTAGATAAGTTCTAAAAGTTTTGCCCTGTTTTAGAACTTTTATCTAACGTTGAGCTCATAAAACTTCTCCGCGTACCGCTTTTTCCAGTCACAACAATTCAAAATGGGCAAACTTTCAAAGTCTTCCAAGTCAAAGAAGAAGAAGACTGTCACCGCCAGCTTTCATGGATCGAAAAAGACTCCTAAAAGCCGAGTGGCCAGCAAGTTTCACACCAAGATGGGGGCGTCGCAACGAAACAAAACTAATAGTCGATCTTCCAAGAAGGTGTCCAAGCACTGCAACAAATCGGCAAAAAAGTCCAGCTCAATCAAGTCAAAGGACCCGTCAGGGACGAGTGTCGTAAAGGCTGATGATGGTGAGCAAGAACAGGTAGAACAGGTGGCAGAGGTCACTGCCGAGACTAGCAATGCCGAGCAGAAGGTGGCGGCCAGTGAAGACGGCAGCGAAGAAGGTTCCTCCGAAAGTGGAGAAGTAGAGAAGCTGGAGTTCACCAAGCCTACCATCAACCAGCTGAAAAAGGAAAAGAGGGATCAGCCTCTAAGCATGGCCTCGAGAATTACCAGCACTGAGTTTGAGCAGCTTTTTGAGGAGGTAATTGGGAAAATACCCAGTACTTCAGGTACTAATGACGCGGTTTAAATACCCCTGACAGGTGAGGCAGCTCAATTCAGGAGTTCAGATGCTGAAAAACTCCTACTCGACTATTATTAAATCGGTAAGCTGGAAATGATGTTGATAGCGAATGTTGTTTGAACTTCATTCCTTGCCCGACCAGCTGATGATGCTACAGAACCGACGGGCCAAGAAGAGAAAGGACGCAAAGACCGTTCCAAACAAGGTTGATGGCAAGGTGACCTTTCTCACCACCTTGTCCACCTGTGATCCAAAGGAGCTACGCACCAAATCGTGCCTAGAAGCGTCTGACAAGTATGATATTGAGAACTTTCTCAATCCAGGCACACGGGACCTGACTTTTCAGATGCTCTTTGATGAGGTAAGTTGGCATTTGATTTGCTGATTTTTGAGNTCGTGCCTAGAAGCGTCTGACAAGTATGATATTGAGAACTTTCTCAATCCCGGCACACGGGACCTGACTTTTCAGATGCTCTTTGATGAGGTAAGTTGGCATTTGATTTGGAGATATGTTTNATTGAGAACTTTCTCAATCCAGGCACACGGGACCTGACTTTTCAGATGCTTTTTGATGAGGTAAGTTGGCATTTGATTTGCTGATTTGTTGAACACTATTTCTTTGATAGGTTGATGAACTCAACAACCGATTCGACTTGCTGCGTCCCTTCTTTGATAACCGCGGTAAGTTTCTGCAAAACTTTTATGATAACCAGGAAGAGCTCATCATTGAGCGTGGTCAGTTTAACGAGTTCAAGTTGTGGGTAAGCACTAGACCATTAAATTGATTTCAAGCCAAGTGATTCTACCACCGAGTGATTCTCTCTACTACAGGTGAAGAAACTCTCCTCAAGTGTTGACGACATTACTCGCAACTACAACGATGATTTGCTGAACATCTTTCGCCTCAGCTAAGCTCAGTCATTGCCATTGAGGAGGCTCCAGTTGAGTTCATAATCTTATCCGGCCAATTTTCAGCACAAATAAATCTTGATAAGAGATGAAGCGCGCGCTTGCGCAGAGTAGCTGTTCAGCAGTGACGCAATCGTGCACTTCCAAAGCACATGTAATTTCCACTGAAAGCTTGCTTTGCTTTGAGCTGCCGAATCTGGCAAGACGACATCTCGCTTTCTTCCTCAAACACCCCTCTTTCTCTGGTCTCCAGCACGCCTCCTTCGATCATGCCACCTCAACACGTCACCGACCTGAGTCTGATAGCAGTTTTCAACGAGTTTACGCTCAATGACCAGCTGTCCGCTAGCAAAGTGTGCCCTCGATGGACCAATCTGATGCGAGTGGCAAATCTGCGAGTTCGTTCGCTGATCATCTCAGGAAGATCTCCTGAAGGTATTGAGTCAATCAAACATGACATCAATTCTTTCTCTCTCACTGCTCATGCTCCCAGCATGCAGATGTTGCCAGATTGTGAGCCACAGGACTGCCCAATGATCACTCATCTCAGCAAGTGGAATTGTTTGCTTTTGAACTACAAAGAGAAGCTTACTTCATTGGATGTTGAACAGATTGTCACCATTTTCCCGGCCATCACCGATCTAAAGTTGGATGCACTTGACTACGAGTACGAGTATATTCAACATTTTGGCTTTAACTGTATCCCAGTTGTCAGTCCAAGCGAGAATATGATGAATCTACTGAAGCATCCCAACTGGGCAAGTCAGCTGATCAAATTGATGGTTATTCCATATAGCATGTACAGTGGTTTTAAGATTGAAACAAATAGCCGTCTTATAACCACCATCAACAGTCTTCCCGCTCTTCAGAACTTGTTCATCCAGAAC